CGAAAGGCTTGAATCCATTGCGTGGCCATCAGTCACCGCGAGGCTTAAAATGCAAGATCTGGTGCGGTGAGGCGGACGAACAGTGACTAATAAGACATTCCAAGGTCGCCGAAATAGCATATAGCAAATTAGACGGAAGACTTTCCGGAATCCGACTCCAACTCCAAGGGCAAGAATGAGATGAGCCGACGATACATGCTACTTTCTGAAAGGTTCCTCGGCATGGTTCTACAAGAGCTAAGTCATCGCCTCATTGATAAGATGGTTGTCATGCTCTTACTGGACAGGCAGCAAGCAAAGCCACACCCGAGACGGCCGTGGACAGAAAACAACGCTAATGCGTGCTGAGAAAGCTTAAAGCATACATATTGTAATACCAATCGTAGCAGTCGAAGACCAGCTCTCCAGCTGTAAACTTGTGCAAAAATGCCTGCCGATACTTACCTTCGGTGTGAGACCAGATAAGTGTTTGGCCACTGGGGTGCTGTTGGAGACGAAGCTTCAATGAAGGAAAATTCTGGCTGCTGTGTCTTTCATAACTCCTGCCTATCATAATGGCGAGGGCATCGAGCACATCGACAACTTAAGGAGAGCCAATTATGCCTATCCAAGGCTTCAAATAAGGCTAGCATCAGTTTCTATAGGACTGGGAGAGGACTGTCGGTTAAAGGGATGTAAAATGCACATCCGTTTTGGTGTGAGGAGAGTCGGTGTAATTGGGCCAGAAAGACTTACACGATGGCTCGGGTTGTGAATAACACCGAGGATGACAAGATGTTGGAGGCGACAGTTTTTTGGAGACAACCTGAACCCAAGCAGTAACTCCCTGGCTCCAACGCCAGATTCGATGAACGGCACACGCGGTACAGCTACATTTCACGGGTTCCCTCGACAAGGCCACCGAGTGTTCTTCATCAAATGCTACGCCACAATTGGGGAACCTAGCAGCATGTAGTATGTGAATAGGCACTTGCTTTCCCGTGTCAGAACGCAACTCATCCAGCTTGTATGGAGGGTACCAATAGATACGCACAGCCGCCACATACTATTCAGTAGTTGTACCCCAAAAGCTTGTGCTCGGTGACAACGGGGAAAGGCTGACCATGAGATAGATGCCTGGTTCGCACCTATTGCTCCTAGCAATCGGGGTTTCGCTGCGAGTGTAGTTGCCTTCATTCTCGATTGCCTCTTCAGGCGGGGAGCTGATCCGCTAAGCCAAGCTATTGATTGGCGTTTTCTTTTTCCTCTTCGTCATTCAGGTAGCTAGCTATCCAGGAGCAGCGACGGGAGCCGGCAGTCAAAGTCCGTCTCCGAGCCACGCCGCACGAGACGTACCAGTTACATGGGTATTGCTCGGGACCGCTGGACGGATTGAGTTACAAAACCGCCCGCACAGCTTCACACCAGGTATTCTCTTTGCACTGGACCGTTCCTGGAAAATACCCTACAGACATAGCTGTAAGTCCGGTAACCTCGCTATTGATGTTGCTGTTGCTGTTGCTGTTGCTGTTGCTGGGCCTTTGTTGGATCTGGAACTCCGACAAGCCCGCTAGCGAATGAGAAAACCCACTTTCACCGAGGCCCCCTTTTATCATCTGTCTGGGCACCGGCCGATATTCTGAGCAGAAGCCCTTGCAAATCAAGGCGAAACAGCTCATAATGAACTTGCCTTAACCCAGCTTATCTGAACAACGGCGGGTGTGGAACTGAATGTTGCATTGGCGCCCTGTTACCACCCCTCTTGCATCGATCATCGTCACGAGGCTTCTGACGGAGGGCCCTTCCACGCCAGTAATAGTTATCTGGGTAGAGTAAGCTGCTGCATAGTGTGAGCCCTGGCTTGGGTAGGGCGAGAGGATCGATCGATATGCGCGCGATCCTTCACCGCTGCATTGGGACTTGACAGGACAAGGGGTTCGGTGAGGTCATATCCTGTTTTATCGTCACGTTTCTACAACTCTGTAACTTAAGAGAGCCTCATCGCAGTTACCAGTGCTCTTGATATATCTTCACATTAGGCTCCATTGTTTCCGCGAGTCGTCGCAATTGGGCATATCTGCATTACTTCGTATGCGTCGGGACGTCGTAACGGTGCCACGTTTTGCCAATGGTGAGGTAGCTTTACAACATCAAAGTGTACAAATGTACAAATACCACCTCATCAATTAACATTCTGCGGCCTATTAGGATTGTAATTTCCCAGCTGCATGTGCACTATGTATGTCATCAAGACCCTTCTGTACAGTAGAACCTCGCCAGCTGTCTGACAAGGGTCCGTGATGTATCACCCCGCATAGCCCCAGACTCGCGTCTCCAACAGGCCATATTATTCTGATAGGGGGTTGGCTGATGGTAGGCGAAGTACATAAGTATTGCACCGCCATCGATCGGCATCATGGCTCGAGGACGCGACCAATGGCGGTGCGTTTGCACATGAGACTCTTCCTAACTTCTCACCAGTCACATGAACGCAGGTGGCTTTTCAGCTGATTAGTGGTGCTACTCATCAGCTACCACATAACCGGGACTGGCTGAAACTTAGACTCTAGCTAGTCGGACCAGGTGAGTATCAGATTGTGTTGATAGGTCGAAATATTTACTAGTGCCTGGAGCTCCAAGTAATCTCTTAGTAGGACTAAACTACACCACCTATACTAAGCATATCGGTCTGCCGGATTCGCGGGCATGGGGATTATGGACTAGGCATGCTAATACCAACAAAACGGAGGTGTGGTAACGAATGCAGTTTACAACTCGACAAGCTAGTCCAACTAACTACTGACAGGTTGAAACCTGCCATGCCGCGCGCATCTCGAGCATAGTCCATAGGCGTCATTCTTTCCACTTGGTATGTGAATAGATAGAATTGGTAATGACCAGAAGGGTCCTGGGAACGCATGTAGACATCTGCTCTCGTCGTATTGACAGCAGGTTAAGTAATGTAGAATCAGCAATACTAAAGTGGTGTGTAACTGTAGTTAGACACCCAAAGCTGTACCCTAGTGTCACACGTCATTCCTCCACACCCATATTCTCTAAAGGCCATTTCGAATACAGCCAGCAGACATACAAGATAACATACTTTTCACTTGCCAACCCATCCCAATAAGCAGGTCTCCCTCCTTCTATGCTTGATGCCGTGCACCTATCCGAAAAGTCTCCACCCCACGAATATGTAAGACAAGAGAGGCGGGAATTGAAGGCATAAGAGGACAATGTTGTTATGAGTTCAAGGCTACTAGATTTCGAAGAGGAATGAGCAGTTCATTACAAAAATGGAAATTATTCACTTCTACTCTTTCACTCTGTCTAGGAGTAAGGCAATGATAAGGTCGCCTGGGAGTCGAGCTTGTTGTAACTACCATGCATTCACTTATCCGTGTTGTGAAATTTGATGTCGCGTGTAAGTTGGCCCTGACACTGAGAAGTCCAGTTTATGATTCGCGCGGACTCGCACTCGATTAGGCAAATTGCTAGTCCTGAATAGACATGAAGTAGCTGAATGTAGCGGCTGCGTGCGTTCTGGATCGTTGTTGAACGAGAGGTGCCGCTGGCATGCAGAGTATACGCAGTAGCCGAGTGTAAATCTAAAATAAATGGTCTGGCATTTTCTTTTCTTCTAACTGTCTTCGCTCACAACTAATCTACTTACAATCTTCCTCAGCCTCCAACTTTCAACTTGACCTAGATCTAGAGATATAGGCCAATCTATCAGCAGCGTTTCATTCTCGTTACCACAGCCTTGTAATAAACAGCTAGCTGCCTTGTGACTAGATACGAACCGCTACGCCACCACATCATGGTCACTATATTTCATTCCTTCAACAATCTCCCCGCAGAACTTCGCCTTCAGATCTGGGCCATGGCTGCAGGTCCGCGCATCTTGCAAGTCTGCGCGAACACCCATTCCCCAATCCTAACCCCTACTATATTGCAAGTCTATCGACATTCTCGCCTCAATGCGCCCTACTAGAAGGATTCTTCACATCTACGGCTGTGCCTAGTGGCACCGAGACCAAGTACATCTGGGTCAACTTCCAGCAAGACATGATTTGCCTCGCAGATCACCGAGTGGACGGCTTGCACCGCAACATGCCAACATTGAACGTCCCAGGTTCACCGTGCCAATCAGAGATCTCAGTGATCAATTTTATGACTATTTCTTTCACAATAGCCATAGAATGCTGTAACGTATCTAAGCCCTTTTCCGCCACTACACTTGTCTCGCCCACCCCTTTTTCCCATACAATACTGCGATTTTCAACCGACGACAACTCCGCCGCAACACGGAATACAATGCTTATATTTCAACACGATATATATAACGGCCTAACGATCCTAAATATAAAATAAGAAAAAATTATACCTACAGCGCGAAAAAGAAAAGAAATTATATATATTAAACAGTTATAATTATAAATATTCTTATACGGCTTAACGGCATAATAACTCTTTTTCGGCATAATATCTGTAGGAAAAGTCGGTGTTCAGTATCAGAGTCTCGTTATATATATCGTATTGTGGCGAGGTTATCGTCGTTATTTGAGAGTTGAGATTGTAGGATAAATGAAATGGGCGGGATGGGTGTAGTGGCGGCAAAGGGCTTAGTTACGTTATAGTCTTTCGGCCCTGAGAGAGATGCACATAGTCATGAGACATTTTGATATAGGGGTCGACGGTCGAGGGCGTGGGATACGCAGAGTATCCAAGAGAGAATGTTAAATTTAGATCTCTTATCTACCTCAAAGCAATCCTGTGTTAAAAGATATTGGTCTCGGAAACAATTATTGCTCTAATTAATCTACGCAAAAAGTGTATATCTCAAAGTAAGAGGACTAAAATGAGAAGAATTCCGGTACAGGAAGCGAACCCCGAGGCCCGCGGTGAAAACGCGATATGTTACCTAGGTACATGTAGCCTTTACACTATACCGGATATACTAATAAAGTAGGATAACTTACTATACTGGATATAGCAATATCCATAGAACGAGGTGAAAAAGGTCTCCCGGGGAATCGAACCCCGATCGGTGGAATCAAAATCCACAGTGATAACCATTACACCAGGAAACCTATTGGCTCATCGGTGGAAGTATTGAATTTGTCAGGCATCATGAATTAGAGTGGGAAATACGCACTACGTTTGGGAGCATGCTGTCTAGATATTTAGCAATTTGTGAAGGGTGGTTAGATTCTAGTACTAAGTTTGGTGGTACCTTACATGTAATCGCGACTGCCTTACATGTAATCGCGACTGCCTTGAATGTGATCGCGACTACCTTATATGTAATCGCGACTGCTTAATTCGAACGGTCCTTCTTTTTTATTTCAACATTGCCACAACATCGCTGCAACATCGTTTCGATCTTCAACAGAGTATTTAATCGGACAGCGTACCGTTTGAAAAGGTTGAAACTGAAGTGTTTTGGCCAGGCAATGTTAGAACTACGGCTACATCATGCCGAAACTAGCAATTTAACAAATGGGGATCTCCCCTATAGGTATTGAAGACTTATTATATTGTGAACGGCGAATGATCTTTCTCTTTTCAACAATAAATAGGCACATGCTTTGGTCTTTTCAACATCTAATGAGTTACAACGAATGGTGTAAACTCTTTGTGGTACAACAGTAAATCAATCAACAGAGTAAGGGAGGACAGGTTAATCGCGGGTTGAAGGCGACGCATTAAGAGTATCAAAATGTTACCTCTAAAAAGAACTGGTTGTTAATACTTCCTTCCATGGACGTGCCATTTCCAAAGTAACTTAACGACTAGCAATCCCTCATGATCAACGACACATCGCGAGACGTTGGTGATCGAATACGTAAGACGTTTTTTTCGAGAATTGTTAAGGATACCTAATTGTGGTACTCCCCAGGCTTTGCTAGAGAGTTGGAACGAAGCACTAATAGCAGATAGCTAAAAACAGATCTTTGAAAAACGACTAAGAAGTAAACATCGAGTTTATATATTGGAACCTAGCCTGTGACTTATTGTGTGTGCGCAATGACAAGTGTTACCATACTAGAATATGCCGTCGATGCCGCATATATATCTATCTACCTGAAGATATGCTAGCAAGCCTGCGCCCGCCTATTACATTGCATTTAAAGGCAGTTTTACCTTTCGACTAAGAATTGGATAAGTGACTTAGGGATGTACGAATATTATTTTAGTCGTCGTCGATGGAGTGCCAACACTATAACAAAACACTTTGTGTTCGCTGCCACACATGAGCATCCCCATACAGAACTTAGAACCATCATATAATTATCTATTCGGGTTACTAACACCGAAGATGTGTGAATGAACCCTCTCCATATGTAGCGAACACGATACCCTCCGCGCCTATTTGTCCAACTCCGATGCGGAACAGAGGCTCCCCGGGCGGACAGCTTGCCACACCTGAGACAACAGGGATCGTGACCGGACGTCCCCGGGATCGACATCAGAATCGAAACGTGCTCAACTGCTCCCAGAGGCAACGTTCCCATGCCCTTACCTACCTGAAAGCCGGACCCCTGTCACCGACAATAACCGTGCAGGCGCAGACCTTCCTATGTAGCTAAACGATGGCCATTCAGGTGTTACTAAGAGCCAATGATTTAGTAACAAGAATGTATAAGGCAGCAGCGTTGTGAGAAGTAAAACTAAGCATCGCTATAGAAGTTCCACCAATGGTAGTTTCTTTTTTCTCGGTGCTCTAACAATGCCCTCAAAACGACGTCTCCTTCGCAACTACGGGACCAAATGTTTACAATTTTTTTCATATCCTTGACCGTTATAAGCCCCGAGTCCATTTATAAACTCTACAGCTGATTGCAAGCTCTGTTTTTTTTTTTTCTTTTTTTTCTAACCCGGTGAATCGTGCTTGCAGTTTTCTGTATCGTTCATTGATGTGGGCAATAATTTTGGAATTAACGTTAGTATTGAATGAGCATATATAAATAGACGGATTGAGCTAGTCATTTAATCTTAAGGTTGGTGTACTATGAGATGTCAATCATTATATAGTGTATGATTTCGTCCCTGTATAGGAAATTGAGTGACCAATGCATATCTTGCCATCCTCTAAGTAAGGTGAGTAGTAGCCCGATATATGGCAATAAAACAAATGTCCCTGAGCAGCTTCTTATGTAACGCACCCCCAACGTATATTTAAGTCGCTCTGTGTCGAAGTTTAGCTTCGACGTCATATGCATATCAATATAGGAGGGGTATAAGATTCGGTTAAGGAAAAAAAGAGCTTGTCTTGCTAGGCGTCGACGTGCTATGGATTGTCGTAATCGTTCGAGTGGTAGGATGGCCTTTTCAGCTTCGTTCTTGCAGTATACATGTTTGCCAGATGAAAATGAAACGTAGTTTGTGTGTAGTTCGCATTAACATGCAAAGATGATGAAGTTATCGCGTTATTCCATGTCTAATATGATTATTCGATATATAAATTATCGAAGCATGTCCCGAACCCGCCGGGCGATTCTGTAGTGCCGTCATTTCTATTCTCGTGGTGTTCCTCCTTATTATCGTAACAAATTCTGGGAAAGGAATCATGCTGATTCGTCCCCGGTATGGTTATCAATGCGTCGAATGGGATGACTAGGCTATTTTCTCCAGAAGAATCCGCGAAAGTCGTGGTGATGGAGCTGTAAGCTTTTAGATCTATTATGGAGGACCACGGTGTCTGGAGAGATTGATAATAGGCTTCCCGATTGTCAAACCCCATGTTGGGTACCTGAACACCAGTCAGGTCTTCTTGGCTCGCTGTGTTGCCCGAGAAGTCCGGAATCCCAGGTTGACCAAGGATAGAAGAAGGCGTGCCAAAGCTCGGGATGCAGGCATCAAACGTGGTATTGAAATGTCCATGGTCGAGAGGCTGTCCATCAGCATAATTGCCCTGGAATTCATTTGGTGGGCTGGGCTGGTAGATGCCTACACGACTTAGGCTAGACGTCAGACTTGAAGGCATATCAGTCGTCTGGTAATAGGCTCCTGATACTCCATCGAGCTCAGCGTCACTTTCTACGAACTGCCAGTCGTTCGTGCTAATACCGCTTGCAGATCTTGGGTATAAAACCTCATCTTGAGGCGACAATGCGTTATTTCTAAGAAATGATGCGAAGTGAACTTCCTGATGGCTGGTGGGACCCGGGTAGGGACGAGTATGTGGGAAAACCGATGGTGATAGTATATATTGCTCTGGAAGTGGACTCAGAGAGCCTTCAACCTGCCACTGCGAGGGTCCGTGATTTAGAAATAGGGCATCTCTGGGAGATTCTGGTGTCGAATCGGGGCCAGAACTACCAGCTCCAGTTGCGTCCTGGTCATCCGGTTCAGAGACAGTAGGGCTCCAGGTCCCTGGCATTATTATCTTGAATTGTGACTCCTCCGGATAGACACAACATAATCCCTTTGTCGTGCATCGTCGACAAGGCTCGCCTCTCGAGCATCGCTCCCGGACCCTCGCGCATTCACGACATGCTCGTCTCCTATGTGAATTATCGTCTCGTCGTTCGATGTGAGTCGCTACATGTCGACCTAGTATATCGCTTTATTTTTGATGATTAGCATGGTCCCGAGCGTGCCGAGATTTTGGCCAAGATATGCTTACCTGCGGGCAAAACTCTTGTCACAGATCTGGCAGATAAACTTCCTGTTCTCCCCGTGTCCGCGCTGATGTCTCTTTAGGTTCTCGGGTCGCTTGAAACTGCTAGGGCACTGAGGACACTTGTATTTTTTCTGGATTGCAGGCTGGGCTGGCCGAATATCTGACTCCCAAGCCGCTTCCTCGTGGCCAAGACCTGTATTATGGTCTGACATATTTCGGTTGGATGATATGGAGCACAGCCAAGATGCGAAGCTGAGAAATCCCTCTTTTAAAGCTAGCTACGAAAATCTGCTCTGTGGCAGCTTTACGATACCTACTTAAATAGTCACATAATACATAATTTTTTGCTTACATACTTTGAAGCGGTACTTTCATAATCATCTCGATCTTTTTGCCGGAGTATACTCCTATAATCTACAAGTAACCTGCGGCTCTACAAATCGTGACCCTTGAACCTGAGGAGGGTCATCATGCACTGTCACTGGCGCGCATGTGACAAGGTTTATTTGCGCTTGTAAGACGGTCCGCCGGCGCTACCGAGACATTAAGCGCTTTGGCGTCTCTCTTAGGTATTAATGTCGCTTCCCTAAGACATGGATTGCAAGGTCTTTTCGTTCTTCCCGTTGAGGGCGGAGTCTCCGTTCCATTATGACTAGAGATTACATCGTGTTAAATACTGAGACTAAAGCCGATATCAGGATATGGCAGACTCATCATCTATTCAATCGTGACCGGTCGTGTTTTTTTGAGAGTAATGTCGCTGGTGAGGGGTGTACATGTTGCTCGAAAGGAAATGAATCAACAGTTGACGTGTCAGACCGGCCGGCGACGGCCAAGGACCGTCGGTGGCATGGCATTATGATAAGTGAGAGAGCCCAGACAAATTTCCCCGCAAAGTCACAAGAACGGCAAGCGATACCGCGGAGCACAACGGGTCGATGGAACGGCAAATGGAGACATTCCTTAACAATACTCGCGTCTAAATCGCCTCCTAGCCGATTCGCCAGAAGTAAGCGATTAACTAAGAGTTGCTAACTAGGATTTTGACATGCGCAACGGGAGAGCTGCAGTAGAGCGTATCATCGCATTAGTCACCCGTTTAAAAGCCCGACCCTCATGTGGCCCTTGCCGCCCCTGTTGGCGCGTAAGTAGTACGGAATGAACAACAACTCTTTAGGCTCCGGTGCCTTGGCCTCAACACTCGAACCAGGCTCCAAACCCAACTCTCCCTGCGACCATTGGTCTATATCTCGGACCCATCCGACGGCACGGAGACCGACATATCGCTCACCCATCTCGTCCATCACAAGCTCCTCTTCGCTTACCCGAGTACCATTGGTTATACCAACGTTACGAAAGTGGTCCTGCTCCCACGGGTTGTCGAAGTCTTCGACGCAGTAGATCAGAGGGCCACGAGCTAATGTCAACGTGCGTTGATTCGTATACGGATGAGGGGAGATGTAG